GATGTAACGTGTCCGGTTAATCGCTCCAAAAAAATATAAAGCAAAGATGCAGGTTAAGGTGGCGCCCATGTGCGGCCGCTGTACAGCCAGAATACACACACAAGGCAAAATTTAATAAACTGCTCGAAGTCAAATGCCACTTTTACTCTCACTGACCAACTAAGTACTATGAAAACTTCTGAACTGACCCGAACTCAAAGTAACAATGAAATGGGCCCCAAATAATTAAAATATACGGAGCAAAATCCACGCCAACATTCACACGGTCGCCATCTTACACAATATACAGAATAATATACATAATTTACAGAACTGCTGCTTCTAACATTTAGTCACTAATAGGTACTCACCAGGCAATTTCAGAGCATTCCAGACAATTACTGTATTGTCCACAGAACATGATGCCAGCCATGCGTCATGAGGAGACCATGCCATATCCAGCACATCACCAGTATGGCCGTGTAATGTTGAACTGCAGCGCCAAGTCTCTGCATGCCCTGATTTGCCTCCACTCCCAAATGCACCACCACCTGCAAGAAAGTATCCACAATCAACTTCCTACTACAAAATTTTTAACAATTCACCTGAACTTTCATGAGAATATAGGGCTAAAGTATTTAGAGGAGTATTGTTAATAAGTCACAGGCAGAGGCAAAAAGAGATGTGACATAAGGAAGTTGTGTAAACTAATACCAGGTGACACACAAGCAAATGGGAAAGGCATGGCAAAGGAAATCAGAAGTTGGGTTTTGAGAGAGATTTTTTTAAGGTAGGGGTAGTGTCATATTTTCCTTGAGTTGTGTAATTCAGTGTGTAGCATTATGAAAATTTTAAAGAACTGCAGTTTAATTGTGGTGAAAAGAGGCAAAACAATAAGATTTCTGCACGCAATTTGATTGCAAGTAATTTGATTTCTTAAAATACAAAATGCGTGCTTTCTCAAAAATAATAAGAGAGTTAAGTTTTTACACCAAAAGTATTATCACATAAAACATTTTGTAATTATGCATTGCACAGAGTCAAGAATGTTTTTGATCAATCCCAAGGGATGACAACCTGAGCCTCATCTTTAACTTAGAAATGCGATCAGAAGTGTCAACTGAGTCATAAAATAATTTGGCATAAAACTGTGAATTAATTTGAGTTTGTTGAAGCAAATTAAATTATGTGGTTTTGTAGACATTCCTGTTGTGTGGTACAGAATGCAAGCTACTTTATTGGGGGTGTCTCAAGACCCAAGCACAGACTAGCAAGTTATTAATTTTTATGCAAGTGTTTTTCATAATTTTGTGGCAATTGTATCCTCCTTTCCATACCTCTTCTTTTCACCCATTCCTCCACTAAAGTGTACAGATACCGTTTGGACACATTTTGAAGATATACCTTTTAAAGCATTAATTTAAGTTCCATTTATTATAAAAAGGTTTTATAGACAAAAAAATCAGAACCTGTTGGATATTTGCTTATCTTCCATATCATCACCAACTTGTCATCTCCTCCAGATGCTAAGAACTTGCCTGAGAAACTCCATCGAACACAATTCACACATGCTGCAACAAACAAAGATTTATAAATTTAAAAAATTACAAGGAAATTGAGATGATTAATAAATAATGCATGCGTGCTAATGAATAATTCATAAAATCACCCAATTTAATAATACGTGATCACCAAAAGCAATAAAAAAGAAGAATTAATTTTTCAACAATTATTATTTCTTTCTTATTATTCTTACGCCCACAGGAAAAAATTATACATTTTGATACAATGAAGTTCTGTACTATAACCAACTCAATTGACTTATTCTCATCCTACTCCACTCAAGCTAAACTGATGAGGCTAACATGGACTTCTAAAGTCTACCCAATTACAGGACCTCCAATTCATCTACAACTGTCCCTCAAACAAAGCATAGGAGAATATAACATGCAAAGCATTTGGGTATAATTTTACTACTCCATTAATAGCCTAGATTCTCAATTTAACCTCCATAAATACCCTAGCTGTAGACTACTAAATGTACTTAATCTGGGCAACTATCAGGTCAAATTTACACTAACAACAGCTCTTGAACATTAAATTGGTAAGCTCCTCACTCAACACTCGAGGCTATTTTCTTTGAAACAACACATTATATAGTTTGTCTCTTCCATTTATTTATTAATGATTCACTTGTGAATTTTTCAAGTATAATTATGCTCTCTGTATTAAAACTGTCAATAAGCTCCCAAAATAATGCATAACAATTTAGAAAGTTAATAAATTAATGATAACATTTTAAAACGTTTAGATATTTTAAACAGGTACATTTTGGGAAATTGTGATGTTATAAACGCATGCACAAATGTGTAGTACAGAAATACTATCCTTTACATTCAAAATTTTCTAAAAGCTTAACATTCCATACTTAACAACAATACTCAAAACTGACTGCCATGTTCCGATTTGATCTCTTTACAAACTCACCCAAGACCCATCTATCCAATAGTCTCCAAAATATCTGGAATATCAGCTACATCCTGTGCCTGCCTGCAACCCCCTTTGTGTTTTTATATCACTTCTTCATTCAGCCTCAGCGCACTGTTCACTTCTCACAATAAAGTCCAATTTTTTTAGCTTAAGGACAGTTTGCTTTTAAACTAATGTTATATCTAGTTACTATACTATTCTTTGATTGTCCAATAGCAACAACAACAAAATTACTGAAAGTTCAATTCACAGTAAGATAAATACTTAATTTACAACTACACCTTTTAATTTTTTTGTAAAATAACATTAAAAATCCCCAAAAGATCTACTCTTAAAATGTAAAAATATATAATTTCTGGCAGTTGTAATTAAAGTTCAACTTCACACCTAAATGATTATCCATCTGACACAACAACTTTGGCACATTTTCATCATTTTCAACTTCTTCACTGACAACTGGTGCCATGTTCCAAATAATAATTCGACCAGAATCTTCCCCTGAAAAAGCAGTTGAAAGTAATCAAATAAATATGAGAAAAAAATATACTACTAAAACATTAAGTAGTATTTTATCAACCCCATATAAGAAATGTGCTTTGAAAAATACTTATAAAAATGGGAAAATGTTTTGCATAAAAATGTACCTTGCCCTCCAGTGGCAAATCGTGAACCATCGGGGTGAATATCAACTGAAAATATGGGCAGATCTGCAATACATAAATATAAATTAATACAGGAATGAGTAAACGAGAAAAAAAATGCATTTTAGAAAAAAACAAAAACGAACAAAATAATCCCAGACTCTTCTTGAGTAGAAATACAAAAAATTACTGAAAAATATTCAAAATAGATACAGATGGCTGAGTTAACAAAATATAATACCAGAAACTTGAAAAACTACAACTAAATTAAGAAAAATCACGGTAAATTGAATAAAGCTTTAATAGAGCAAAAGTCCTAACTGTTAATTGTTAAATATGAGTAACCGGAAAAAATTAACATTTTTTATCTATTCCAACATACATACCGTCGTGGCTAACCCAAGCCGGTTTCAACAACTTCATGGTTACAGATTGCTCAGAAACAAAAAGTGAGGCTTTTTCAACCAAAAGGGAAATGTATGAAACCTATAATTATGACAAAATCATTCATAACCCCAACATACAACCTTCCATTAGAAACAAACCAGCCGCAAGGTTTTAATGAATCGGTTTTAATGATGAACGATTCATCGTATTATGAACGACCAACTATACAAAAAGAATCAAAGAATTAACTGCCTCTGTTGCCTATTTTTCTGAGATAATCATGGTAATATTTTGAATTAAAGCGTGAAACTAATCACTCGACATTAATCGCACATTTGTCGAACGTATCATTAATGCTAAAAGTACGTTCCAATGAGTTTTTCGTGATTATGAATAATATTATATTAAGATTCGCTGTGCTTGTAATAAACTTCCAAAAAGTTTTAGGTTGCGCATATCGTTCCCGCACATAGAATCATAACAAGATAGCAGCACTAGCGCAACAGCGCAACTTTGGCTTTGCGCTTTCTAGAGGGTTTGCATTTCCATTTGTCAAGTCCAGCATGACGTTGACAGTGCTACCATCTACTGAAGGAAATTGGAAACCCATTGCGCATTTCATTTGTTTTGGTGATCAATATAAATTGTATATTTATCAATACAAGAAAGCACATACATGGCCTACGAAGGTACAATTGGCATGTACCGATTTTGTCTTGCAGTAATTAAATTTTTTCAATTCGAATGTGTCGTTTCAGGTAATTCTGCCGGGTAAAAAGTAGAGATATAAAAAAACTGACTTTATTGGATCTAAAATATCACTACTAATGATGTTTATCAAGTGTACAGAAACAATTATTTTTTACAAATTTTGATCTCTTGATGCACATAACTTCTAGTCTAAAGATAATGAGTGTCCATTGCCTCAGTTTTGTAAGTAAACTTAATATATAACTTCCTTTAAATGAACTAGCAGCAAATATTTCCCAATCAAATTCATGTAAATTTGCTTATAACATGTCATTCAATGAAAATTCATGCTGTTCTTTTTTTTCCTTTGTAGATGATATGTTTAATCAGAGGATGGAGCAGAAAATTTCTCTGCAATTAAAATATTAAAACTGTAAATATTACACTTATTGCAATTTTATTTTTACCATGGCAAAAACCAACCATGAAGTGCTACCACCAAGTCTTGCTGAAACAATGTCTTCCACAAAAGTTTCTTCTCAAACCAACATAGGTCCCAAAAAAAGTATTAGTGGAATAAAGACTCCTGCAAAGGCCTCAAAAAAATCTTGTTCTGAGATCTCCTTTAAAGATTTTTTGTATTTTCTTCAAACTGCATACCAAGTTAATGATTGTGTTGAAGGCAATGTCACTAACACAAATTTTGATTGGAAAAGTGTTGCTGGAAATCCATTGATAGCTTCAATATTGGGAATAAATGAAGAGCAAGTGCAAAAAGTTTCTGAGCAAACATGCATTGAAAATGCTGTTGAAGAAGCAAAGAGAGAAGTTGCAGAAATCAGTAGTGAAAATAAATTTCTGTCACTGAAGAAAGCTGAATCTACTAGTTTTGAAAAAATAAAAAGTAATGCTGCTGAAGTTTCTAGTGAAATACGAATGGCAAGCAAAAAGCTTTCAGAACACAGAAATGTTGAGCAAATTCTCAAAAGAAAATTAAATGAAATAATTCAGGAAGGTCTATTAGATTCTGTGCTACCATATGTTGTGCCAAAACAAACGGTTTGCCCACAACCCTCTCCCAAAAAGTCCTTCTCAGATATAAATAAACCTGTAGTTGGAGGAGATAAAGCAACAATGCAACCAACTCCTAAAGAAAAACTGAATTCTGCATCCAAGAGGAAATCAAGTACATCTGGCGAGTATGTAATAATTTTATTTTGAGTTGATGCAGAAAGTAGATTTATACACAAGTTGTATTTAAATACTGGTGAATACAACTAGCAATGACTTGTTAAAATATTTTCCATTTCAAACTAAAAGTTTTGAGGTAATAACTTAACTCTTCTTATTCTATGTGATTTTTTAAATGTAAAATAGCATGTTGAGTTTCAAAAAAAACACCACCACCATTGATCCAGTTTTTTAATCAATTTGTCTTATTAATTATTTTTAATTAACCAATATGTACCAGTTAATTGATAAATGAAAAAATATAAAATTTGTCAGTTTTTTTTTTAAATAAATATTTATTGGTAAAATATATTAGGAATACTGATAAAATCTAGAATACTATTCAAATTCTAGTAATTAACTTTTTTAATGCTGTGCTTCCTGCATACAAGTTTTTAACATGAACTATACATAGTACTCACTTTATTGTCAATTTTTTTAAGTCACAGAAAATGTGTTAATGAGACAATAAGAAAAAAGGGTTAACAGAAGCCAAGGAAAGGCAAATATCAGACAGACATCATAGAAGTACAGGCATAGATAATAGGGACACACTTTACTACCTTTAACACAAGACATAGAAGGCCATTTTCATGAATATGGTGTTCAGTTGTAAATAATGTGGGATTGTGAATGTCTCCAGACCCAATTTTAATAAAATATTTCTTCCCAGAAAATTTTAAAACTGTTCATGTTATTACAATCTCCCCCAACTGTTCCATTCCAAACATTCATAAAAATGGTCTCCTACCTCCCCCTACTCACACACACAAAATTGTTGAGCTAGGATTGTTTGGGATCTCATTTAGAATCAGAAAGGTTATTAAAGTTAGTATGATGCATCAGAGGATTAGATGAAATAAATATGCATAATTCATTTTATTATTTATTAATATTTCTAAAATAAAAGACACTTAGAAAGCTTTCTTTTAAAATTGAATCATTGCATTTCAGACAAATTAATTTCTTAAAATTCCCAAAACTGTTCATTTATATTGATATATATTACATTTATATTAAACTGGATATTTATATTAATAGATTATAGAAAATTGGAAATTTAAAAAACATTTTATAGAAATATTTTTGTACAAATTTAATTCCTTTTCAAATTGGCTTAGAATGTTGAGAGAGAGCTCCTGGTTGAAGGGATGAAAGGCAATGATTGGCTATGACTACCAATGGCTGACTTATAACCATGATCACTGTCTACAACTGACAATGACTGATTAGGTTAATGGAGGATTATTCCACTCCATGTTCAATGCTAGTAAATGGGTGTATAGAACATTGTTATGAATTAATGTAACATAACTATAATGAAAAAAAATAAATAAATAAAAAACTGTTTTGACTAATTGGATATTTGTTGATTACTGCCCATTCACTTCTGAGCAAATTTATAACTGTAATATTTCATTAATAAAAGAAATTGAATATTTTTTCTTTAATATTCTATAATTTTATATTATAATTTTGTTTTATTTATGTCTTAAGATATTTACTTGACTCATAATTTACTCAAATTAAAGTGAAACTTATCAAATAATTAATTTGTTTTCAGGAACAAATGAACATTTAAAATTTCTATATAAATGAAGAATAAAGATATCTTCTTTATTCAACTGTATATCCATAATTTAAATTTCTTAACAGAAACAGCAAAGAAAATCATTTCAATTATTAATGACAAATGTCTTATGTATTTCTTTTTCTGTTTTTCAATTTTTAAAAATTTTTGTTTGTCTTTCGCTGGCAGTTTAAATCAGCTATGTAGTATAAACACTTAGAGTATTCCTTACCAATTGAAACTCAGTTGCTAATTTCAAATTTTGGAAGTCTATCACAAATGTGTCTTTCTAAATAAAAAGTGAATGAAAAATGAAAATTGGTTTTAGTGAGTTTATTTGTCTTGTTTGAGAATACTACTATGCATTTTATCATTCATAAAATATCCTTTGAAATCATTTATCATTGTCTTCAGAGTGGAAGTGGAAATTCATGTGTGTGATGAAGTAAAAAATTTAAAAAGAGACTTTAGATGTCCCCAGAAATTGCTTGTATCTAAAATGGGGTATTTTGCTGAGGTGACTACAGGTAAAATTCCAGATCCTGTATATTGTGTATTAATTTGTCAAAAAACACAAATTATTTAACATATTTCCTAAAAGGGCAAAAACTTGAAGATATGGATATATCTGTACATTGTGATATAACAATTTTTGATTGGCTGATGCGTTGGGTCAAGAAAGACACTCAACCTATTGAAACATGGCCAACACTTGGTGAGTAGTGTTATAATTTAGTTTTAAAACAACTAATGATAAAAATATCATCACTATTTTTTTCAGTCTTCTACCATTACTGTAGTAAAAATTGTATTTTTACAGATCCATCAAATGTGGTTCCAATATTGGTATCAGCTGCATTTTTGCAAATGGACCCTCTATTACAGGACTGTTTAAATTTCTGTCAACAACACATGAATGAAATTGTTAAAGCATCAACAAATTTAGCATGCTTAAATGACAATATACTGACAAGGTATTTATTTATAATAGCCCAATACTGTAGCGTTATTTAATTCCCATCCTTTTATATTAAATTGAATTATTTTCCTCTCAGGAAGTCAGCTTTAAAAGTGTTTATCTTTGATTCTGAAACAATTTTTTCTTCACTTGGGGCAGCTTCACTTTGTTGGGCAGCAAAACATATTCATAACTTTTAGTTATTTCTATCATACATTATATTTATTTGATTTCTCCCATTGAGAAGAATTTGAGTTTCAATAGACTTTCTTAGTAGGGACAGAATTTTCAAGATAAAATATTGTTCCTCTTAACTTTGTGTTTATCTTTTTCAGATTGGCTAATCTTTTTTCAAATGTTGATGTTGAGAATTTACGTGACAGGAAAGATAAAATTCAGACAAGATTGTATTGCAAGTTAATAACCTCTCTGACAGAATCTACACCTGATGCATCAAGAGGACACTTTGCAAGTTTGGCATCTATGTATAAATGTTGTAAATGTGAAAGGCTTGTTCTTCGTCAATTGTCATCTCATATTTTGTGTAAGCCAAGCAGCATGAGGATGGATCGCTTTGGGAATATTAGTGCAATTCATACACGGTAACCAGATTTTTCATGTACTGCTGTTTTAAAAGAGAATCTTACAAAGTTTTGGAAAGAATTAATTTCTTCTATTATGTTAGTACTGTACAGTCCAAAACTAGGTCAAAGAGAGGGCCCGAAAGCAACCACTTGTATTGATGTTGGTTCAGGTCATTGATACAGAATTATTATTTAATATAAATATATATCAATAGAAAAAGAAAAAGTAATATTTAAAATTATTAATTTAAAAGTTGTTTTACCAAAAAATTATCACAATACATTTTCTTATAATTTTTGAGAGAACACAGTTTTAACATGTTTAGGATTCGAGACATATTTCAATCTACTCATAGTGAATATGTTTTATAGAACCCTTCAGAGATGAGCTTTTCCAGGAAGTAAACAATGTTGGAACTTTGTTAGACTTCCATGTCTACTCTAACAAAATTATTTAAAGTTACATTCAATTCCTTCAGAAAGTACACACTTTTATTTATACAAATTGTGACCTGGAAATAAACATTTTTTCTTAAAATTTATTCTTTTCTCAGCATAATGTGTTGAAAAGTAAAAGGCCTGCCATAAATGGGAGCTGAAATTATTGATTATATAATGTACACAAAGCCAATTTATTATCCAATTTACATTGTAAATACGTATCCTTAGTTATATATCCACTTTTATTCTTAGTTATATTACTACTTTTACTCAGAAAGGCCTATTACAAATCTGAAATCTTAGTGAATACTTTATGTTATTTTTCCATAGAGATACAAACTGGAATCTTAATGATTATATTCGGAAGTTGCACGAAGAACTCAAGTCATGGCGGGCAGTGTACTGGCGATTATGGGGTGACTGCCATTTTCTTTTCTGTACTACATGCCATCACTACTTCCCAATTCATCAAATAGGATGGTGTTGTTATCACCCAGAACAACCTCAATTTTTCACAATGGAACATCAGCGGTCCATGATGTACCCAATTGGTCGCTTTCCTTGTTGTGGAGAGAGAGCATATAGATTTGAAGTTTTACGAAATCAGTCGGTTGGTGATTATTCATTACTTTTCGCATTGAGTTTCATAAAAAAATAATTTTGTGTTTTATTGTATTAATATAGAATTTGCTTTAGGGTTGTCAGTTTCGAGAGCATACTCCTACTTTAAATACAGAGAAGGAAATTTCTGTGCATAAGATATATACACAACATAAACATTTAATTTCATTAGAACCACCAAAACTTGTTTTTCCTGAACGTTTAACAAGGCTAGTCAGTAACAGAGGTCAGTAACCAAGAATATTTATGTTACTGAAAATATTAATTTGCCCTACAAATTTAACAAACTCTTGTAATAATGCATTGTATATGCTCTACAGGTGAAGCTGATAGAACTGTCAGTACTGATGTCAATCCTAGGACATCAAATCGAGAAATTTTGTGGTGGGAGGGAATGGAACTTGCACCTCCCCGTCCTCGCCTAGGCCTATTATGTAGGCTTTGGGACACACAAAACAAAGAATCAAACCAAAATGCTTACCGTGAGTCTGCAAGTCATTATAAATTGAATTTTTTCTTTGTCTTTTTTATCCCATCATTTCAAATTTGAGTGATTAAAGACCATTTTCTTTAATGTGTCATTTTTCTAGTACATTCCTAAAATGTACATTACATTTTTCTTTCTTATACCGCAGTGGATGCCTATTATATTTGCATCCCTTCTCAGAAACTGTAAATGATAAAATTATCAAAATTAAATGTTAGTTAAATAATTTTGAAAGTTGAAAATAATCTTAATGTGAGAATTTTACGTTTAGGTATATGAGCAGTTGTCATTTGATTTTAATTGCAGATATTTACATAAGTGCTTTTTGATATTGATATCTTATACAGCTAAAAACTATTTTCTGAACAATGTTTATGAGAAATAACTACTCTGCTTTGTTTGAAAGTATATCTCATGAAAATAATAGAAAATGAAGATATAGATTATGTGAATCCCTATGTGTGAGTAATCTTTGTTTCTTGTTGTGTCACAGAATCCGTGATAAGCTAGTATTGTGCTAGAATGAGTGGGAGAGATGCAATTTCAGCAGATGTTCCAATCATGTGTTGCAACTTAGAATATTAATAGCAAGGGTATCAGGAGTACATGAAAATTCATAAGCTGAATGTGGTGGGCCAACGAAAACGACCCACTCAATCAGGTTGAAGACATAGCTAACACTAATATTCGAGTTTCACATAGACGACATGGTAAGAGACAATGGGTGCTTTTCGATACATCTATTTCTTATTCTAAAAACGAGGTATAGATAACAATAAAAGTAACAATACTAGTATATACACATATTACATTCAACACACAACATGCATTACCGAAATATCCTGACATTATAAGCTTCTTTTCCTATCAGTTCCATTAACTTTTTCATTTAGTGAGAGAGAGCTAAAACATCAGAGTACAAAATGTATATAGGATGAGTGACAATATTTTAAATAAGAACTCTGTGATCACTGAATACCTTATAGCACAGAGAGTTTGTGAACTTCTTACCCAATGTGACTGTGACATGCTTATTACTCATTCAGTGTTTGTGGAGATGACTCTAGTTGTTCGGAAAATAGCTGCTGATCTTCAGAGAATTATTACCGTCAGAGCATACTGTTCATCAATCACTTGAAAATGAGATCGTAGAATAGCTTCAACTCTTCGATATGCGATCAGGCAGGGAAACTGGCATCTGTCAGGGACAGCTGTGTTTGATGTTTGTCCGTAAGAGAGCTCATATTGGGAGCAGCGATCTCACTGCGATCTAAGACCTGCTTGCTGCCTGAATCTGTGCAGTGCTACATCACAATGGTATATAAGCATTACAAATAAGCATACGAATTGCAGTACACAATATTTGTAATAACACATATAAACTATATAATTAATGCCCAATATGAAATATAAATCTAGTAGAACAACTTAACTATACAAAAAACCCGCATCAACTAGTCTGTTTTTCTAAAAAGCTCACACAGGAAGATTATTGAACATCCCCTATTAGAGCTGAAAATGAACCATCTATTAAAGAACCACGTGGTGCCAAAGTCAATGCTCGACTAAGACGATATCATGACATAATTATTTGGTTATCAGCAAAGCTAATAATATCAATGAAATTCAAAACGAAGGCTAATGTTGGAGTTTAAACTTCTTATGCAATAAAGGGAGTAACATTTATAATTGTCAACAATGTGTGAGAAAACAAAATAGATATTGACCAAATAAATTGTTTGAGTATTGATAAAGATATATAATGGAAATGATGGCATAATGACTAAAAGGTACACAAATAAATATGTTTATCTCCATGAAAAGCCAATCTAGAACCATGAAAGTCGAGGAAAATTAGAGATTTCATATTTTTGTTCGGTACAAGATATCTTATTAATCAGTAATTAGAATGCATGCAATTAAATATTCCGAGCAAGTATATCACAGCAAATAGATTAATATTTCTTGTTTCTCGCACGCGTAAAATCTTAGGTGATGGATACTTTGTAAGTCCGATGAAAGTGGCCATTAAGGAATATAACATACAATACAAGCACTGAAAAATATTAATAATGCAAAATAGGATAACGTTAATTAAAGCTTACACCGAGAATATTTACTAGTTCTGCAAATACAAGTACTCAGAATTTGCCTTTTCTTATTTTTCTAATCGTATGTATATCAATAAAAATTATATTTAACCATTTCCTAATTTAATTATTTAATGTATTTAATATCTTATGAATACTTATTAGATTTGTTTGAGTCTACACACGCGCACATAAATATCACTGGAATACATAAATCATTGATTGTCATCTAATATATCTTCCACGAGACACATCCATCTAGTTAAAAAAAATACAGAAAAAATAGTAATGTACGCTATTTAAATATAGGTTCAGGATAGGCGCGCTAAAATTACCCTACTTTCAACTTTAACCTATAGACGCAGGTATGATGTGCAGCATAAATGTTAAATCTCTCACGAATTTGGGAAAAACAGTTCCTACAAGTATATAGTACACTTCACTCTGCAATATCTGATAATCAATTTAGAGTATACAAGTTTGACAAAGAAAAAAAAAAATTTAACGAAAAAGAAATACAATAACACTAGAAACATATTGTTTTCGTTTGTATAGCAGAAAGAGCAATGTATTTAGCAGATTGTTTTTAACAGGTAATATAAATTAGACATACTGGAATAATAGGCAATGCAATTAATAATACTATACGCGACATTATACTATCCATACACTCATAAACATGGATAAATATAGATATTAGTAATAATGAGAAATATCATAGCGAATTTCCCTGGGAAATAAAAAGTCTCACATCCTGACTCGCAATTAAATAATCAAAGAGAAATATCAGAACAGTTTTTTTGAAATTAAGCGAGAAATACATTTATAACCAACTTGACGCATAAAGTGTCGCCAAAAAGGAACGCAGACAACAACACCAAAACATAAAGCAAAGATTTTTAGCATTCAAGTGAAATTGCTGGTGCATAGAGAGTCCTTAATTGATTAAGATGTTACTATACACAGATAATCAACCAGTATTAATTCACTGAAAACTACACACATATTATAGCTACGTCTGAAATGCATTGAACATCCAATTCTCATTCAAGTATTATACAAGCTGATCCTAATATATGAATAGTGGGTCTTATTTTATGAGACACAATGCAAACACAAGTGTTGTGTGCATGTGTTCAGTACATCCAAGTTGTAAAAAAAAAATCTAAGCACTCTTACAAATTGTGGGTATGTACATCATTGCATATTTATTAAAAAAATGTTATCATAAATGGTTTTTATTTTCCCTTCCAAGTGCTATCTGCATGTGGAAATTCGTTAT